TTCACGTTGTCGTGTAGTACATGCCACCATTTGTCCAAACTTGCGGGGGATTGAGTTATTATCTGCAAAACTACTGCAATGGTTTTATTACTATTATCACAGCTTAATGAAAAGCGTATATCTACAACCCAAAGTTAATAATAAAGACTTTAAAAAAAAAAACGATTATACAGCAGATTAATGTGGTCAGTTTAAGCGCACAGCCATTATACGTTTTATATTTTTTAATCAACGGCTGATAAAATAAATAAAAAGTCAGGAAAACGGCTGCTTACGTATACATTACACGACAATCGACGTTAACCATGCTTTTGTGAGAAGTATGTCGTCGTAATTCTTTAATATTAAGATTTCCTTCAGATCTTTATGTTTTATTTGAAACGGAAACATTTTCATAACGTCAGGATGTAGATAAAATAGAGAAATTGCTCAGTCATATGTCTTTGTGCTCCTTTGATGCAGAAACAATTAAATCTTTCATTTACATAGGCTCGATCTTCTTGACGACTTCACTTTTATGCTTCCCCCTCTGCCCACTGCATATATTAACCATAAGGGATTTCATCTATGGACGGATCTACGGGGGAGGGGGGAGTGCTTTCGTGCTGAAGCCTCCCCAAAATGGTAAAATATAATCACGTTTTATGGAAAAATATATTACAAATTATCTCTTAAAGTATTATTGTTCGTGTAATTAAATTTTAAAGGACTTAAGGAATCACTTAAACACCATTTCATATAGATAGTTAGTTTCTTTCTTTTGTTCCAAAGTAATTATCGTCATTTTTATGAAAAAAAAAAGCTTTCGGGCTGAAGCCCCTCCCTCAAAATTAAATCCTGGATCCACTAGTGATTTCATCAGGTCCCTCTTGAGGTGCTCTTTTTAATATTTTGCAACGTTTTTTATATTTTGACTAACATTTATTCCGTTTATTCGTGATAATTTTAAACTTTTGAAGTCAGTTTAAATTCACTTTAACTAATTAAAACTAGTGTTTAGACGCAATAGATACAAAAGCTTTCAATTGAAAATCGAACAAATATCACAACAACACTGCTTTATTATACCAAAAGTTATACCGAGTGGAAGTTAAATGTCATTTTGCAAAATAAATGTGGGCAAAAAAGAAATCGAAAAATGCACTCCCTTCTCTTGCAGCTTCTACTTTATCGTAGATAAAATTCTTTAGATATCGATTGGTGTAATGGAATTTGGCATACAAGATTGCCTTGAAGAAAAAATTCTGACTGATGTTGAAACCATTTTCAAACATATAAAAAGATTTCAAGCTCAAAAGTAGCAAATATTTCTGTGGCAATAGCTCCAATCATTTATTTCAGAAAACCTCAATCCGCTCTAAAATGGACGATTTTTAACGAAAAATCAAAATAAAAGGATTTCGATGAAAATATATAACATTAGATGAACATTCGTTTATTAGCATAGAATACGTTTTCATAAATGATTAATGTTTATGTAATATCATAAAAAAAACAACAACTACGGTTTCTGCTTAAGACCACATGATAAAAGTGAAAACATCAATTAGGCCGAATTAAAATGTGAAATACAAAATTTTATTTTTTGTTCTATGTTCACAAAGTAATAACATCCACAATATATATAATTATAATTGTGTATAAACTTTTTTTTTTTTTTTTTTTTTCTATAAAATATATATTTGCGCCTGTCAACAATAAGTTGACAATCAGCAAATGTGATGGCGATAATGATATAATGACATGACAGGCATGGGGAAGGAAAGTACTCAGCAGTACCTCTTCCTTAACTTGTTCCAATTACTTAGGTTGTCTAAGGAAGGAGATCCCTCATCCAACGCCTTTTTAGTCTCCTGCTCATGTTCTGAGGTATGTCAGCTGTGGCCATGTTTCTTATAAGTCTGTTATTATGTCCATTTAAATTTGTGTAAAATCGTTGATATAGGGTCGTTATATGTTGGTCAACTGTTGGAAAGTGGAGATCAGTATGTAGAGTTTTGTTAGTCACGTACCAAGGTGCTTTTGTTATGAGTCGCAATAATTTTGATTGGAACGTTTGAAGTTTTTGTAGGTGGGTCTTTTTAGCGATGCCGTATATTTGTGATGGGTATGTCCATATGGGCTTAAGTAAGTATGTATATGTATTCAGTTTCTGTTTTAGTTTTAGTTTTGGAGATTTGGCAAAAAGAGAGTAAAGTAGTTTGAGTCGTTTGTTAAGTGTCATACGCTTCATTTTAACATGTGGGCCCCATGTCATCCTTCTGTCGAAGGTGAGTCCAAGGTAAAGTACCGTGTCCGTTTGAGGAATTTGATTGTTGTCAATATAAACTGGAGGACAGGTTGTGTATAAACTATTTTTTGTTTACTTAATGGCCATTGTCGAAACATTATCAAGTGCTACAGAAAATCGAATAAACTACTTGATTTCATATTTGTACATTTAATTAAAAAATATATTTATTTTGATTTCGGCATATTGGTTTCAGAATTTTCCATGGTATTTAAATTTTGAGATATTTTATTGCAAATGTTCAATACAATCGTTATCATTTTCACTTTCGCTTTCCGACTCTCTAACTCGGCGTCACCTTAAAAAACAATTTTGAATTATGGCTCGATCCAAAGAGAATGAATTGCTGAAAACGTCTCTGCCTAAATTATATAGGTCTGATTTTCAGTTTCTGAGATATTTAAATCCAAATGCAAAAGTACTTCAATTATTCGAATTTACCCTTTAATAATGAGACCATTATTATGCAATATTTAATTAAAGAAATAGTAAACTAAACACTATGTAAACAATAAAATTTGGCTTGAAAATTAGCTAAAGATATGTACATGTCACCCAAGAATTTTTAACTTTTATCATTTTTTTAAAAGCATTATATTATATTGATTGAAAAATTGTTTCAACATACTGTGTACAATATTATCTTAAATTATGAATATGTAATATATTCGAAGTTCATCTAAAGTATTTATTGATATTCAAAACATGATATTTATGGGTTCTCGTTTCAATAAATAAAAAAATATATTTTAAAACTGTATCCTAAATTTATAGTTTACCAACGGAATTAGTTGGTATTAAAACGAAATAATAAAAAATAATAATACTCTTTTATTGGTTGCACATAGACATATAATATAAATAAATTGATTTTACAAGCACCTTACATATTTAATTTTATTTAGAATAAATTGTTAATTTTTTAAAATCTACAACTGAAAATATATTGTCCAAGCAATTGAGTTCCCGCTACAAAATTTTATTATATCAATAAAAGAATTGATTGAATCATTCTTATTTTAAACCCCTATCCCCCTCAATAAATTCATTACTTAATTATGCTAACTGGAATTATAATTTGGCAGCATTTAAGCATGGTCCACTATGATAACCATTTAATCTATTTTTTAAAGTCATCTATCAGCTTAAATTATTATCAACATAAGATTATTTGAAATAAAACGTCAAACAAAAAGTCAAACATAATATTATAGTTAACAGAGTAGTTAAGGGTTCTTTTCTATATAAATTTCCATTAACTTTTATAAAATTAAATATATTTTGTGCATAAATCGCATACACAATAGAACGTTTATTCATGTATAGTGGGAAAATTTATTTCACACACAATACAATTTTATAGATACATAAATATATATATGTATACATATATTAGTGTTGCCCAAAATCGGTCTTGGCCTTGCAGTTTGCAAGACCAAGACCAAGGCTATTAAAAAAAATTGATTTTTTGAATACAAATTAAGACAAAATTATTACTAATACTCCACAATTTTAGTTAATATATGTAAAGAATTGGTACAAACAATATACTTTTGCATTTAACTCTTCTTATTTTTTATTGGGGCTTAGTTAGGTTTTTTCTATATAAAAAAGTACAGTAATATCTCTATAGTAATAAGCTAATAAGTAACTGCTAGACTCTTGCGCAAGACCAAGACCAAGACTCGTCTTGGTCTCGCATTTGGGCAACACTAATATATATTGATGTTGTACAAAAAAACAAACAAAATTCTTTCGCATGGAGTCCAATAATATATACTCGTATGATAGAATAACAAATAAAAATAGCTTTCTTCAACACAATTGTATATTTTATGACTTAAAAAAAAACAACTCGATTTTTCTTCGATATGAATTTCGACTAAAATCATAGGTGTTTGTGATAATCAAAATATTAGAAATAAATGATTTTATATTTAGAAAACATATTTTATTAAAAAAAAATAGATTTTATTGTATTGAACAAAACATAAAAAACTTATGTTGGAATATTGGACAAACTGCTTCAAAATTATTTTCTCATGCGGATATTGTTTATAAAATCATTCAAATTAAATAAAGAACATCAATATCATTCATCTTCATAACATCTACTTAGGAACCCAAAAATTGGAACTGTAACATATATATAATAAAGTATGCGAATAAATCAATTTAATTTGATTCAACGATTGTTCGATTATCTTTCTTGAATTTCAATAAATTTAAAGAATAAATTGATATCTAGTTCACAACTTCAAATTTATACCTAAACATGTTTTATTTTATTTATTGATTACTTTATTTTATTTCGAGTTATTGTAGCAAAAATAAACAAGAATATTTTGCTTAAAGATCAATTATATAGGTGATGGAATAATAATTAAAAATTATTTCTTCAACACAATTGTACATTCCATGATTTTTAAAAAAATATCTTTTTTTTCGATGATTCGACTTCATCCAATTTTATATTCGATAGTTCCTATCAATTCTTGCTAGGCAAAAATAATATTTTCTATGCAATGAGTATGGTATTGTGCTCAACGTTTCATTATTTAGATAAAATTATAATTATGAACTAAGGTATTAGTTACTTTTATAAGTTAATTTTGTCATCAATAGTTCCCAATAAGTCTTGCCAATTAATATTTGCTATAGAATGAGTGCGATATTGTGTTTAAAATGAGTGAGCTAAGGTATAAGTTACCTGCGATTCGGACATCCATCCTGAAACCGATCCGGACAAAGTACTGACTGAAGGTGCGAGCGCCCCGAACTGCCCCACACAGCTAGGCGGGGGATGCAGCGAGGAAGTCAACCGGTTGTGTAACCCCGGTCACTGTCAAAGAGATCTGCTCTGGGGGTACACCAATTTCTGCTCCTAATTGGTGTCTACCGCTCACCAATTCAACTTTTTTTCAGCATTCCACTTATGATGCATAAAGGATAATTAAAAAAATAAAACTGGGTTTAAAGTCGGTTAACGTACGATCCAATTTCACGTGTGCTGCAAATTGTTGCTAAACCGTAGGGGTAAAAAGTAGTTTATCTGTCTGGTTTAGTGAGCAATCAGAGTTGGGTTTTGAAACGTTAACATTAATTAGTATTAATGCAGATTTATAATTTAATAGATTTATTAAATAATATGAAAATAGGAGTATCGCACTGCTTTTGATTTTATTCGTTCATAGTAACATTACCTCTTAAATTTAAAACATGTGCATTGGTTGTTTCAATGAGTTCTTAGCGTGGGCAATTAATTAATAATTCTACATTAAATGAAAAATATTTTTTTGATTGATTTAATCTTGTAAATTATTTATTTGAGTTATTCATGATTCCCGCATATATGAGCCTCTTAATTGACTAATGACTAATTCCAATTTCAACATTTTTGAATAATGTCATTTTAGTGATATTCCTAGTTAGAACATTTATAATATCTGTACAGATAGTGAGCAAGTTGATTTCAGAGAAGGTGATTGCAGTTGTCAAATATAGAACTCTGAATACAGGTTATAAGGTATAAAAAAAACCTGTACCACTACAACCCATGAAGGGTCTGGGGTTCAGTACTATTTAGGGAAAGTACTGTTTCTAGGTCAACGGTTGTGCAAGGAGGTGATTTGACCGAGATCACGCTCAACCGCCAGGTTTTCCCCCTTAATTAATTATTTAATTAAGGGTACCCACTTTATAGAGGCTGCGTGTGCCCCAGGAGGGACTCTCAGACCCAGAGTCGCCCCACGGCCAATGAAACAGATAAATAAATTTTCTGCCATGAGCCGGGGTTCGAACCTGGGACCTTTGCATTGGAAGCTCAGTGCCCTACCACTGAGCTACCCCACTCCCTATAAGGTATAAAGGTATTTTTATTTTCACATTAGATATATCACTAAAATTTGTAATAAAAAATGTTGAAATTATTGAAGTTAGTCACTCTGTCAACTGAAAGACTCATATTATACAATAATAGTCCGTGGTACAGACATGTTTTTATCGAATTATTAACATCCGCCTGAAACTTCGTAAATAGTTTCATCTCATCGTAACCTACAACTATTTTATTTACGAAAACTCTTGGAATTGGGATGTTTTCAATCTGGATGGGGGCAAACTTTGTCTATTTAATTAGGTATTAAAAACTCGTAAATACCCATCTGCTTTCTACTTGGATCGTAAGATAATTTGATCACAAAATCGATAAAAAAGGTGGCCTACAAAACTATTGGGCTGTTTGTCCTATATAACATCATTATTTTGAAAATTTGGGGCTGTATGTCACACCAAACAGATCAATACTTTTTAAGGACACCTTTTTTTCGATCATTTTCGAAATGATGCACGACAAAGGGTTCGTAGTCACACAACTTCACGTTAATTGTAGGGCTGCCATGGGATGCATGTCGACTTGAGGAACTTATGATCGAGAGGGGTAGACTTTATACCATTTATCAAAAGTGTTGTCTTGTCGGTACGCCATGTCTTCCTCAATTCTTAATCGAATTCCAAGATAACTCAAAAAGTATACACTCTTTTTTTTTTAATTATCGTCATATTTATAAAAAAAAAAAGCTTTCGGTATGTAGCTCCCCCAAATTAAACCCTAGATCCACTAATGACATGTAACAACCGTATAGGATATGGTTATACCATTACGAGTATTGATCATTAAACGGGTCCTTAAACAATAGTAAAGCCAATATTGTAATCTGTGATATGAAAACATTTGTAACAATGTTTGCTCTGCCCATTTGTAAGGCATTGTGTAAGTTCGTAATATTTGCTTCTCAGTTTATTCTGATATAAGTATTACAAAATTTGTAGTCATTTTTATTTTTGCAACTGCAAAATGCGCCTAGAAGAAAAATGATAAATGGCCGTTTCGAAAACTACATCTATCAACATTTTCGGGGTTCCATATAAGCTCAAAGAAGGTATTATTATGTGATGTAAAAAAACTTCTCTGAAAATTTTCTTCAGATAATAAATCTTGTTAGACTTCCACTCTTGGATTGGACACCTATATCTTGTGCTGATTAATCACTTTGGCAAAACTTTAGGGATATGCAGTTGTCTAACCAGTATCGTATAGCTCTCAGTTTGAAGTTTTATGGTTATAAGATGATTATTTAAAAAAAAAAATCCTCACAATTAATTTCCATTGCAAAGGATTTGCCACCCATGCTGTTCCATAGACCTCTAAATAAGCTGATTGTTGGCGAGATTTATGGGACCAATTAGATACTAACGATCTATTTCACGGCGGATTGGTCACTGGGTGGACCGGTCACGTTTAGATAGCTCCGATTGGAATGGAGCAACGCAAGGTTCAAGACTGTTCTGGATACCTTACGGCTATTTCTATTATATTTGCAAAATAAATTCGGAATAACAAAATAGAATAGATTGCCTTCCTCTTATTAAAATTAAAATTAAAAGCCTTAAAATTGAAAATTAGAAAATAATACCTATATCTTGAAAGATATATGTCAAAGCATTAATTTTTACATTCACTTACCTTTTATGTAATATATTGTAAGAGAAAGTATTGCGATCATGAAAATTTTCGAATCTGAATTATCAACGGAAATACACGTTTTGGAGTCCCCTGAGTCCCAGAAAATGATCTCTGTGTAAGTGAACAGTTTAGGCCAAAAACGAAAAGTCGTATACAACTGATATTACTATACTATACTATAAAATAGGGATATACCTGGGATGTTACATCAACGTTTTCCTTAAAAGCGGCTTACCAGAAGTGCCACTTTATATCAACGATTATACACATTTTAAAATTTTCTCTAAAACGGCTCAAACGATTTTGATTAAACTCGGTGTATCATTGTATAATTAACTTTAATGTCATTTAGGCCCTTATACCCATTGATGTCACTTTACAGAGCTAAAAATGTGTACTATTTTTTAATAAAGTTTGTTTTCTTTCATAACTTGTTTGCCTGAATTTTCCGAGGTGATTGGACTATATTGCCCGTCTGAAGGAGAAGGAAGCCTTCGAAATTGGTGGCTCAATCTTGAGATTTGGTGAAAAATTAACGATGATATGGCTTGCCGATCAAAAACACCATCGATAAATAATATAAACTCCTCCTCTCTCGATCATAGAGACCACAAGTCGACGAAATGAGACATGTATTCAATGACAATACTACAATTAAAGTAAGATTGTGTGGATGCGAACCCTATGCCTTGCGTTATAAAATAGTACGTTTTTGAGCTTAAAAACGGAGGAACCGCTCTTGCTGTACGCATCAAAATCTTCAAGATCCAATTTGTCCCGTATCGATCTACAGACCTACCATCGTTCCAGTATTGAAGCCGACATGACGCCGAAAAACGTGATTCGCTATAGACTGTAGTGCCAAAACGGCTGCAACGATTTTAATGAAACTTGGCTAAAGTCGTCCAATTGAAACCTTTATAATTTATATATATATATATATATATATATATATATATATATATATATATATATAACATACTTTTCTGAAAACTAGCTGCATAAATGTTTACGAAGAATTCAGAATTTTATTTGCAAATAACTCAAAAAGTACACAATTTCAATACTTATATTTATTTTAAAGCTTTCTGAATTCCCTACTAAATAAAAAAAAATCATCGAACTCGGACTATTTGGTGCAGAGATTTGGTTTTTGATAAATTGAAAACTTTACATTTACTGAAGTAATCGTGATTATTATTTGAAGTGATAATATCATTGGATGCTAGTGGGATGCCACCTTATAAATTAAAATTAAAATTAAATACAATAATTATTCTCATTCATAATGTAAATACTGCACAAGCTTTAGTTAAAGGAACACAAATGAGAGTGAAGTTTTAACGGGAGTTGTTTTAAATCCATTGTTTCATAGATCAGTACACATGTTAGCCCGTTCGGCCACCCCGCCCACACATAATAACCCCCCATCTGAACCTTTACCTTTGTCCAGGGGTGTCCCACAAGGCTTCTCTTTATCTCCCACCCTTTTTTCCATCTACATCAATGACCTTTCATCCTCTATCCTTCACTGTCAATACCATCTGTACGCCGACGACGTCCAGATTTACCTCTCCTTCAATCCAACCGAATCCTCTGGCGCCATCCAAAAATTACAGGAAGATATAAATGCAATATGTGCCTGGACAAATCACAATAGGATTACTCTAAACCCAAATAAGACGAAAGCCATTCTGATCGGATCTCCCTCACTCCTCAAATCCATACAGATACTCCCCAATCTTTTCCTGAACAACTCACCTATCTCATTCCATACTTCCATAAAAAACCTTGGTGTTACATTCGATCAAACCCTCTCCTGGAAACCACACATCTCCCAAATTTCCCGTCGTACTATCTCTACCCTGAAACAGTTTAACCGTCTCCACGTTGTGATAACGACATACATAAATCAAAATGGAAATTAAATATTTGGAATGAGTCCATTTGTGTATTACTTGTAAATAATTTTAAGTAGTTTAAGCTGGATTTTTAATTGAAATTAAAATTTTTATTAATAAATGAGGATTTTTAAATGGTGATTTAAATTTTTAATTGAATTTATTTTTAATTTAATTATATGTTTTCCCCAAATTTTCAATGATGATAGTTGAATTTCGACCACTGGGCGAACACTAGTTGTATTTAAATAATTAGGTATCAACGTCCGTTTATTCAGAAAAACTCATGAAAATTAGATTAGTTAACAATTTGATATATAATACTCAATATGTATAATACTCAATATTATGCACTTAGATTA